AAAGAGAGGCGTTCATGTGCGTGGAAATCGCGTCTCGTACGGCCATTTTTCAGTGGAGAAGTTCCATCGTCTTCAAGTATCAGTTGGTTCATCGCGTGTAGTGAGCAGTTACAGAGACTGCGCTCTGAACTGTGTTAACACTCCGCCATGCTCTTCGTTTAATGTGGCCTCGTCTCCTCGTTCAGACGGAAAATACCGATGTGAGTTGTTAGACGAAGACAAGTACTCAGCAAACCCAGCCCAGCTGGTCAGCTCACAGGAATACCATTATTACAGCATCAAGGTATTTAACAGAAAAAAAATGACTAAAACTAACTTTGAAATTCCTACAAACATATACACCACCTATATATTTGAGAGGTACGAGCTTATTTTGATAGCTATAAATGGACTAAATTCGAAGAAAAAGTGGCAAGTAAGTAAATTTAATATCTCTTCGGACACAGCCACCATTTTTTTGCACGCTAAACTAGTTCCTTGAGCGGTCCGAATAGTTTGCAATACGGACCGCTAAGATGGACCGCTTAAGAATTAGTCTCAGCGAATTGCTTTACAAAAATTACACAGAAGAAAAAATATTTTTTCACTTCATATTCGGTGGACAATTCGGATTTAATTTCATGAAAGCCACTTGAAAAATGTAAATGAATGCTTATTTTAGCCTGAGCATGCGCGTTTACAGAGAATGAATTCTGATAGGGATGCTATAATTAATCAGCGAGTTTTACAGTTGTTAAAGATCCATTATATTAAATACTCTTTTGAAACACCTCGTTTGGTCGGTATTGGGCAATGGCGATCAAATTGTTTTCTTGTAACTTTATCCACAGACTTGCAAGCAATGGACTCAACCAATATTGCCTAATACAGATTCCACGCTAGTTCAATAATTTATTCGTATCACGTATCACCGATACCCATTTTGACCCATTTGAGTCTGCAGGCCACGAGCAGCCCTAGTTATTTCCTTAGGTCGGCCAAGAGCTCGACGGATTAAGCAAAAAGAAAAGCGACTGCTGTTAGCCTGTGTTTTAACTTGCGTTTGGAAGATTACACAGATTTAAAGACAGGCAAGCTATGCAATAGTTTACACCCCTTAATTAACGCGATCTAACAGGTACTCAGATATTAAATTGCGTATTAGATACAACCGCGGAAGATGTAAAACACGGAACTTTGAAAATTGCATAATAATAGGAGACTTCACGAAATTTGTAAGATTTAAGTGACTTTATTGAAAGCCACTGTTACTTAAAAAGATAGAAAGAAGTGTGAAAAAGTCAACGTTCTGACGTATTGAAGATTTAGGAATAACAGAGAATCAGCCTTTTTCCATGGTTTTTCTACTGAAGCTAGCAGTGGTGACGACAAGACCTGTCTATGTAGATAAATAAATACATAAATTAATGTGGACAAAATTTAGATGGAATGTTGAAACATTTTCTTAGAATCATGGAAAAAAGCTAGAAGAGCAAGAATTTATTTGTAAAAAAATTGCTGATTGCAAAAACGTTGTAATTGAACAGAAGAAGTTTTAAGACGTTTATGTGCCTGACAAGGTTTCCAGCATTTTCAGCGCTTCGCCTTCGATGGATCATTACTACGATTTTTTGTAGTTGATACCATAAATGACCATGAAAAAAAAAAAAAAAAAAAATTCACCGATGACTGAGCATTTGTTGAAAAAAGACGCACCATAGTTTTGGCCTTCCAGAGTGGAAAATATGCAGGAATTATACTGTTGTTAGCCACCTTTAACTCTGCTAAAACTGTATTACAAGGTGTTATGTGCTAATATTGTTCCGAGTATGCTCTACCCGATGGTCTAATGACTCAGTTTCTCATTTCTAGCATCGAAAATAGCATATTTCCCTTACATTTGTCTCTGGTTAACTTCTGTGCATAGTCACGCCTCGTAACTTGGTTAGTTATGCAAATTTAAACCGCTGGCAGCTTATTTTGTAACCTGCTAAATATGATCTCTTCAGTTTTGACACTGAGTTTCAACGTGAAATGAAATAAGGCAAAGCAACTTCAAGTTAGAAAAGCTCAGTGTCCAACCAGTTTAAATTTGAACATGTAGCTTTTTCCTGTATAAGGTGGTCACTTAGCAATAACGTTTAAAACACAACAAAGACCAGGATGTGAATTAAACCATGTCTTGAAATTTCCATTGAAATAATTTAAATTTAGATAGAGGACATCACAGAAATATTAAGCAATTTTGAAAGAACCACTTCTTAAAGGGAGTTTAAGGGACACAATCCGGATAATTTGAGTTATTTTGGACGCGTACAAAATTACCTTTAAACTGAAGGAAACCTGAAAAGAGTAGTCTACAAAGATAAAAAACGCTAAAAGAGACAACGAAAAACAACAAAGGAACAAGGATGGATTATGATCGAGAAGATTGACACGGATTACAAACGACGAGCTTGAAGAATTTAGGCTAAACTTTTCTCGGTGAAAAACGTGACATAGCTCCTTTAGGATATTGAATTATTATTGACAATTGATTAACGTGTAATGCTTTTTTCTCCCTCAGATTCCATAAAAATACCATAAAAGTATACCTGACGCGTTGCTGGAAGTTTGTGTGCTACCTAACTTTTTGTTTTTGCTTTGTTTTATTTTTTTTTACAGACACCATGCTCAAGGTTACCTTGTCAAAACGGTGCAAAGTGCGTTCCCAATTATAGTGAAAATGAATACCAATGTGATTGTGTTCCTGGCTACACAGGAAGACACTGTGAAACAGGTAAGAGATATGGATGAAACTGAATATTTACTTCCTATATCCCGAGGAATCCCAGAAACACCACTACCTTGGATTAATTATTGCTGTGGCGCAACTTTGTAAAATATTGCGGAATGATCAGTATTATTTTCCTCGCAAGCGGGACAGGCTGAAACCCGCGACTTACGATAATGTTAGCAATGTTATCTGCTTTTTTGTATCTTGTTTACCCGTTTTTTGTCGAATATTGGGCGCGTGGTAAGTGCTAATGTTTTGCAAAAACTGTTCTACTTTAGCGAGAGAGCATGAAGAGTAAGAGAGATAATCCCTTATAGGCTTTCTTTCCAAAGGGGATACCTCTCAAGTTACTTTAAGTGGTAGATATTTTTCTCACCGTTTCGCGGCTCAATAATATCCACCACTAGCCACTTCCACTGCAAGGAATAATTGTTAACTGTTGCTATTCAGATATCAATGAATGCTTGAGTAATCTCTGTTTAAACGGAGGGACGTGTGTTGACCAGGTAAATGCATATGTCTGTAACTGCAAACCTGGATACGCCGGAGTGAACTGTCAAACTGGTAAGTACTTTATCTATTTCCAAATGTATGTTCAGTATACCGCTTGGTACAGCTGGTCTTCCAGTTTTTGAGCGATGGTTACTTTTTAGCGCAGCTCCAGTGGCCCGAAGAGTCACCATGCGGAGCACCATACTC